AAAAAAAAATTTTTTTTTTTAAAAAGTAACAAAGTAAAATAATTGTTTAAAAACAATCTGCAATTAGTGGATGGTCCCTCAGATAAAAAATTTAAGTTATGAAACTCAATTAGTTCTTATCCTTATTTAATCTTATCTTTATCTAATTACATGAATAAAACGGAGATAGAAAGTTTGAGGTTATGAAGCTTTGTGATTCTTGACTGTTCTGAGGATCAACATGAAATTATGTACTTAGTGGATGGTCCCCTAGTTAATTCAAGGATCATGGTACTAATCTATAAATAGAATAGCGCAAGAAGGCCATTAGCTTTCCATTGACGAAGACGATGGTACATCAATAACGATGAAATCAACAAGAGAAAAAATTTTCTTTTGCTATTAAAATTTGGCAATGTTTAGTTGGTCCCCAAAACATTTTTGGCGCAGATTCGGCGCAAATTTAACATAAAATGTCGTTTCTGCGCAGTAATGCGCCAATATACCGATTTGGCGCAAAATGCGCTATATGCGCAGCACTTGAAGCCCTGCACTATGTATTAACTGTTAACTCTGCAAAAAATAGCCGATAGAAAAATACGTAATCGTAAATTTTCATGGCTAGCTTTGTTTTTAAATAAAATTTTGGTTTGTTGCAAGATATTTCACATAAGAATGCGTACCCCCGTTAAACTGTTCCTGTATCCCTGGGGGTATGCGTACCCAACTTTGGGAAACACTGCCCTACAGCACAAATGAAAGCCAGCTTAATAATGAAACAATGAATTATAAATAGATATTTATTTAAAAATCAAAAAATGAATCACTATTATGTACATTATTACAATAGATAATCAGCTGATGCATAGCACAGCTTTTGTTACAAAATTTACAATGAATCAAAATAACTCTAGATCTATCCTCTATGAATAGCTGTTAAGATGAATAAGCTGACCCCTAATTTCACAGCATGCTGAATGTATTAAAAATATGCAGAAATGTTTATTGCTGTCATATTGCAGGGAGGTCAAACATTACTTCAGTCCAGGTGAATCAAAACATCACACATGATTGAAACATAAAAAGAAGCAAAGGCAGATACGTACAGTATACAAATTATAAACTTTATCAGGGTGAGAAAAAAACGAGACATCAAATGAAATATTAATTAAAAAAATGTGAATAAGTAATTAATAACCTGCTTTTTAATACTATAAGTCACTTTCATTTGTTATGATAGAAATTACACAACTAGAGTCGATTTTTTATAACTCAAATATTAATGTGACTTTATTTTTCTGCTGTTCTGAAGTTTTCATCGTTTAATTATTAATTTTTTTTGTTTCATATATTTTCAGTTCTTTTAATTTATTTTAAAAAGGTGACTGAAAAAGTAAAAATAAATAGATGCATACATAAAAAAGAACTAAACCTAAGGAGCCATTCAAAGATTAAAAAAGCCCGTTTTTGGACCTCCCTACCTTTTGTCAACAAAATTTAGCAAATCACCCCCCAACTCCCCATGCTCATATAAGATAGTAATTCTTTTTTTTTGGTGATAACTTTGTCTTCTTTGGTAGTCCTCTAATTTTTGATTAAATTTAAATAAAAGATGTAAATTTACATAAACGAAAATTTACATTTTAATTCATTTAATAAAATTTTGAATAGAGCATTCTTCATGTGTCTCATCAAAACTCTTGACCTCTGAAATTCTTTGAAAAAATGTATCTCATTTTGTTTTATTAAAAAATTTTAATGGTGTAATTTTTTTTCTTCGCATTTTTTAAAAATTTTTTTTTTGATTTTCAATAATATTTTTAAAATAAGGATATTTTAGTGTCTTCTGTAAACGCTGCTCATATCAGTCTTCTTTCTATCTACCAAAATATGGGCGTTTAGATAATATTTGAAGCCCCCCCCCCAAGGGGATATCGATTTATTTATCGAGAGATCATTTATCGAACCATCAAATAGAGTCAGTGTAAGAGAAAATAATACCTATGATGGGAAAAGAACTGCATCAATAGTGATTGCATTTGAATTTTGGAAATACAAGGATTCCATGTCGAGGCTCCTCCATTTTAAGTGCACGAAGTTCTGTAAGAGTTTATTATTAGATATAAGAAATTGAGTAATAATTGCAAAATATCTCTTATCAAAGTTAAAAACATTTTTGCTGTAAAATAAAATTTTATCAACAATGTCCAACCATGAAAATGAAATACATAAAAATTGAAGTATGGTAGTCGCAAGAATACTCAAACTTCTGACAAGACAAAATTTCTTGTCCTTAAACCACTCCCAAATTCAAGTTATAAGGGATGGACTATGTAATAATTTTTTTAAAAAAAAAGAGATAATTTAAATAAAATAAATAACTGAAAATAATATTTTATGATATGAATAATGTCAATAATAGCAAGGCAATTCTATTCTATTGGATTGCTTATGTAACTGTGACTATGTGAAAATAAAAGAAGAAAACAACGAGAATAAAGTATCGGTACAGAAATAGTCATACTATGATTTCAGGTCTATAAACAATAATCTTCCTCAGTGTCTGAACACTAAATGATAGAAGTAAATGTCTGAACCAATAGGGACAGAGGAACAATTTTAAACAAGAAAATAAGAAAGAGAGAAAAGGATTAGGTAGAAACCTCAGGTTGCAAAAAATTAAATTATTTAATCATAAAGATTTCAATCTGTTCTATAAATATACACTATCCATTTTTTAGATATGTGAAATTAGCTGAAATATCTTCCTATAAATTGATCAGCTTGGATTTTTAAATGATAATCATAAATACTTTTTGAATTATTGAAAAGTTTAAAAATTATTAAAACAATATTAATAAATTTGGTGATATAAGTGAAGAATTTACTATTTTTCATACACAGGCATAACGAGGGATAAGAAAGTAAGGTTGACAACATATTTTAAAGGTAACACGACTCAAAAGAACATTAAATAATCAACCACTGACACAAATATTCAAGATAAAAACTTTTATCATTTTTTTCCTCTTGAAATAAATTTACCACATTTTATACAGGGTGCACTTTTTTAACTTCGCATTTTTTTTAAAGCACTTAAAAGACATTAAACACTTTTGAAAAAACCATAATAAGGATATGCACATTCATAATTTTTTCCCCTCCTTCTTTGATAGTTCTTGTATATATGCAAAAAATAAATAGAATGCAGAAATATTTTCAAAGTTATTACTTAATCATGATAAAATAACTTAGTTTGTGGTAAAAAACTCTATTCTCGATTTTATTCGCCACCATAAAATTATTTTATGTGCAATTTAAAATGTATTCAATATAGAGCTGCACATTTAATTTTTTAAACTATTAATTATTTAATTCAATATTATAAAAAAATAATTTCAATTCATAATTACAGTTACTATATATATTGGTGTAGAAGTTAATTTTTCAAACACCATAAATTTTTACGAAAATCCGGGGGCCGACCGACACACCTGTAATAAAGTCGACATCGGTCAATTGTGAAATATTGACGCATTATAAAGAATGAGATAGACATGAACAACTCTGAATCCATTTATCTCTTTCAAAAACAGTTGTTAATATGTTACATACAAATAATTTTGCATTTTCTCAGATCAAATTTTCTTCACATCTAAAATATTGTTAAAATACAGTACTATAAATTACGTGCAGAAAAAAATTTAGGAATATGAGAAGATTGAGATAATTTCTTCAAGAGTATTTCAAAATATATAACACAATGAAAACTTTTAAAACATACCATAAAGCTAAAAGATTCCAGAACATTATCTATGTTGTCATACAGACCCTATTCTGCAATAGTTTCATCTACTGTGTCACACAAAAAATTACCCCATCCATTTCCTACTTTTTAAAATATTTCATAATAACATTTGAATCCAGATTTTGCCATGCATCATTTGACACATGACGCCTATAATAGCAACACAGAATTTCTGTAAGAGTATTTGATGCGAAATATTTTTAACTTGGAACAATTTTGTAGACTTAATATTTTTTTATGTTATTTAATTTGAGAAATTTTAATATTTGCTTTGTTCTAGAAATGGACTCGAACACCCGACATACCCATACCCAAAATTTGCTATCTCATAAATCAAAAATGGGGGTCGACTCGTACACAGTAGTTAAAACTTTAATTTAAAACAGTTATCTGGAGTATTCTTTAGATTAAAATAAAAAATTCATAGTAAACTTTTACTAATCATATTAAATTATAGCCCTATATTCATCCTATTTAACTAATCTGGGATAGTTGAATTTTTATTTTAAATTATTTTAAAATCAAATGATAAAAGAGACAAATTCTCTATTTGTGAAATGAAAAATCTAATCACTTAAGACAATTGTCTTTGCTAAATGTTAAAATGGAGAAAAGCTCTTTCATTCAGACTTTTTTTTTTTTTTTTAAATCTTGCGCCTAAAAAATTATTGAGTTTTTTTTTTTTCTTCTTCCTCTTTACATAAAATAACTAGAGTACTGAAAAGTTTAATAACAAATCCAGAGAAATAAGACTACAATATTTTATACAATTATTAGATAGTCTATCAGAAACAGACTGATCTGGGCCCAGATGTAAATACTAAATTAGTGAGTGAGCCCCAAGTCAAGAATTGTGGTTTGAATTAATCAAAAAATAAATCAGTGCAAGAATGTGATTAGCCATACCAGATGCTTGAATTAAACTTAATTAAAAATGAAGGGAATATAAAAATAAACCCAATTTTTATTGATAGCCTGTGAGTCAGTTATTTAGCAATTGCGTACCACTGAATTAAGTATAGTTATCTTGGGTTAAGTTAAATTTAAAAAGTATTTTTTTTTTTATGAAATTATAAGTTAAAACTACAAAACTAGACCATTTATATATGATTAACAAAAAAACGAATATATCTCTTTCAATAATTACTATTTATATTTGTAATGTATCAAAAATATAATATACATAAAAACTTGATCACAATTTGTAAGCAAATGATGTGAGGTCTAACTCCTGCCGGATACTTCCAGTTAAAATAAACTCCACATTATACACACCTGTAAAGAGAGATAATCATTAACCAGTTTATTCCTGAATTGAATATTGCTCACAGTTTGTCTTTTTATACAGATTGCTGCAATTAAGTGAAAGACTAAATCAATCTTATAGATGCAGTTAGACAACTGAATATTGGTTATAATTCAATTCTTTCCTCATAAAGTTTCTTCCAAAGTGGAAAAAAATTATGAAAAAAAAAAAACAGACCTGAATGAAATAGGTTTCTATCAACCCAAGTGGAAGAAAAAGCTCTTAAAAAAAAGAAAAAGAATATCTAACATAATAGTTTTTCGAGCAGTTTATAATTCCAATCTAGTATAAGCTATTTAATATAGGGACGCACAATCTGCTGCCAGTCAGCTGATAAAGTGTGGCTTGTGACAGCACCTCAACATAATGAAAAAAATTATTATAATGTTTTTCTTTTTTGAAAAGGAAAGGGAAAATTTTCAGATTTTAGACAACTATAAAATTTCTTTCAATAAAATATTAAATTTGCATTAACATTACTCCAAAAAATATTATTTTATTTTTATACTATGAACATTATAGTTTCTTTATTTTTTTGGATATATATATATATATATAAAATAGTGACAGTCATGCAAGCTTGAGAAACAAGCGCAGGATTTCAAAAAGAGTAAATTAATTTTGAATATCGATTAATTTTGAATAATATAGAAGGAATATCGAAGTGACACAAAATCATTGTGCTCCTCAATAAAAGTTAGGGAAAATCTTGAAAAGTAAATCGGTAATATGTCTCGTTTTAGGGAATAAGGGAAATCTTAGTACTGGTAATTTGTCTATTATACAGGCCTAGGGAAATAGTCTATTCCATGAGTTAGTTAAAGAGATAATCGTTAAAATATTCATTAATGCATACTTGAACAAAAAAATAGATTAAAAGACAAGATATGAATTTTAAAGAAGAGAGTGTTTCGATTTGAATAATAAAATTGCAGCCAACATGTATAAATACTTGGGCATATGGCCCTTCGTTGGTCAATCTGCTGTACAAGTGGTTCATCACCCAAAAAGTTTGTGCATCTCTCATTTTAGATATCTTTTTTAAATAAGGGAAAACTAAAAAGTAACGGGTGAAAAGAATAAAAAAGTTAATGAAAAAGAATTATCATTTGATTTTTTAATAAAAGAGCTGTAGTTCTTCAATATTTTACATAAAGGAGTTTATTAAAACTGAATTATAAAGTTATATAATTAGGAATAATCAGTAGGATATCATAATCAAATTTTATTAATACTACATAAATAACAAATCATATTGAATATTAAAATGCATATTGAATTTACAATTGCCAATAACATACTATTTTTTATAAAATACAGTTAAGAATAAATACTCTGACTCATGTTAGATACTATGTTAAATAAATTTTAAAACTCTCGATAAAATTAAAGTAAAAAATAAGAAAAAAGCTTATTTTTGTCTTTTTTAAAAAAAAAGTAGAATTGAAGAAATTTTAACTCTGTGGTGCTATATTATGTTTAACTATTCTTATAATCATTACTAACAGGAGTATTAATCATTTTCAGTTTCTTACATTTCTTTCAGTTTCTTTTGAATAAAATACCAATCCTGATTCTTTTACTGACACAGCTAAGTAGTTAAATATTACTTCAAATTTTATTACGATTTCTTTGATGTTTCTAAGTTTTATGAAGTTAAAACAAGATATATATGCGTACATACACTCTGTAAAATACCGATAAAATGCCCCAATTCACGAAAGCGCCCCCCCCCCTATAGTTTCACACAATATCTCCATTTTATACTAAAACATTATATATGTAGATATATACATACGTACATACATATATATACACACTCTGTAAAATGCTGATAAAACACTCCGACTCAAGAAAATGCCTCCTATAGTTTCTGACAAAAACTGATTGTGAATCGGTACTGAAAAAGAGCCCTCTTCCCGATAACATAATTTAAAAGTTCTTATTTCAACAATTTCTTCATGAATATTTTAAAAAAATAGTTATCCTGATGTTTAGAGTAGAAAATTAATGTTATACCGTAAAAGAGAAATGGAAAAAAGAAGAGGATTAATCAATCACAGTAAAATTGAAGATTTCAAACAAAATTGCAAGTCCATTGAGAAGAAAGGGGGAAGCAATCCTCTGTACACATGGTTAACATTTCTTTCCTACTACATGTAAGTCACAGGGATGTGATTGACAAAAACACAAAAAAGAGGAAGTTTATAACTGTAGCATTAAACGTGCAAAAGAAAAAATGATATGAATTCAATAGCCAATCTGATAATGATTACATTATTATCTATTCAAATAAATATAAATAAATAGTAATTATGTTCTTAAATAAAATCTTGATTAAAAAAATTTTTTTTTAATAATTTAGATAACTTTGAGTAATTATGCACAAGCAGGATTTTATGTATCAGATCATTTTAAAAAACATTTCTTTATTGGTTAAAGGACCTTTATGGACTTTCTCATCAGTTCTTTGTTTTTTCGATGGTCTTTTATTAACATGACATGACTGATCTGTAGACTGCGTTTTGCAGACTTTTGATCATCAGTGTTGATAGGACAAGAAAGTTCATTTCTCACACAATTTTTAGAGGCCTTAGATTAAGAATCGCGATGTTGGATTTTAAAATCGCGTGAAAAAAAATCGCGATGCCGGATTTTAAAATTGCGTGAATAACGCGATATCGGATTTTAAAATTGCGATGTTGGATTTTAAGATTGCGTGAATAAGAATCGCGATGTCGGATTTTAAGAGTGCGTGAATAAGAATCGCGATGTTGGATTTTAAGAGTGCGTGAATAAGGATCGCGATGTTGGATTTTAAAATAGGGTGAATAAGAATCGCGATGTTGGATTTTAAAATCGCTTGAATAAGAATCGCGATGTTGGATTTTAAAATCGCTTGAATAAGAATAGCGATGTTTGATTTTAAAATCGCGTGAATAAGAATAGCGATGTTTGATTTTAAAATCGCGTGAAAAAGAATCGCGATGCCGGATTTTAAAATCGCGTGAATAAGGCGATATCGGATTTTAAAATCGCTATGTTGGATTTTAAGATTGCGTGAATAAGAATCGCGATGTTCGATTTTAAAATAGGGTGAATAAGAATCGCGATGTTGGATTTTAAAATCGCTTGAATAAGAATCACGATATTGAATTTTAAAAGCACGAAAATACAAATCGCGGTATTGAATTTTTAAATCGCGTAAATAAGATTCACGGTGCATAATTTTTTAGAGTCCGTGAATACTTATCGCAACGAGTAATGAATGTTTAAACCGCGTATAAATTCGAATATCGATGTTTGATATTACAACCGCGTGATAATGATAACGAATCGCAATATTGAAATTTAAAAATATATATGAATACGAATCGCGACATTGGATTTTATACTAGCGGGAATATGAATCGCGATATTGGGTTTTAAAAACGTTTAAATACAAATCGCGATATT